TCATTTCCATAACATCTTACATGCACATGTATGTCGTTTGCATGTTACAATTGAATTCCTATGTTTTTATGTAGGATGCGTCATTGTAAAATAAAATATAGTTTAAAAATGCTTATTTAAGTCTGAAATTGCAGGATTATTTCTCATATGCTAGGTTTCATTGATTAATTTTGCGAAACACATCTTTGGAAATAAAATATGACCAAAAAAATGAAATTAAAAAAGTAAAATTACTTATATACAGTATTTTTGATACATATTATTTTGTACCAAAAAACCATAAAGCCTAATTATAGCAATTCAGTTGAATTGATCAGAACCATTCCATTACATAACAAATTTGATTTGCTGCAATATACAGAGAGAGTAAACCTTGAATTATTATAATTGCTTACAGTAAATATAATTTTTTTTTTTTTTTAATCTCCGTTTGTGAAAGAAAAAACACACACACATATTGGAACACACTAAAAAAAAATGAATAAAACACTTAGATTTATCCTTTGTTGTTTTCTTCTGAATCTAATGCGTTTTATGTCGCAGTGAATTTTTGATTTTTCACATAAATACGTTGTATATTGTAGTAGATGAGTGCAAGTTTGTGTAGCCTATCACGGTCAATGACATTTCATACTTCCCTAATTTCTATCATCACTTAATTACCAATCAGCATCGCTTAGCACGAACGAAACTAGAAGCATCAGAGTAAAGATGAGAGATCATAAGAATTATATGAAAGACGCTGAACCTGGAAAAATCATCAGAATCAAAACTTGTTACATGTTGAAAAACAGTTTTAATTTCTGTATGAACTATATTTATAAAGAATTTCAGGTTCTGTACCTTTGAAGAAAGAATGAATTTCTGAACAGGATTGTTAATTATTATCTCGGAAAATAACTACTTAATTTTAACGCGGTCTACAGTCTTTTTCTCTCATGAACTCGACAGAAGTATAATGAATTTAGAAGTAGTCACTACACAATCTATTTATCTATTGAGTAAAGTTCTATTTGTGCGGTACGATTCTGATACGCCCCGGGGGAAAATAATCCATTGAATATCTCTGTTGCCATTCCATCTTGCGTCTGATCTGGGAACTTAATTACAAGTGGAAGTCCAGACACATTTGTTCTCTTTGGTTAACAAGAATTCTGTATTGATAATTTGATATGTCCTCATTTCACCTTAGCAAAGAAGGTTTAGACATGGATAAATAATAAGGGCAGGTTTTCCGAGAACGTAGCCAAAGGACAAGGTATGGTGACGGCCAAATCTGGCCCCCTATTATTTGATGTAAAAATCAGAACACAGTTAAAATCGTGATAGTTTGTATTTAAGAACTTAAAATAATGCTTGTATTGAAACCAGTCCTAATTTTGATTCAACACTGTTCAAAGCTTACACGGAGGCAACAAGAGGTCAGATACATGTAAAATTAAGTCGGTCATTTTCCCGAATTTCCTCAATTCTGGTCTAATTTCGTCAATTTTGAGACACTTTTTACTTTGGGAAACATAGAGCACAAGCTTGCCTATCTGAGATTTTTATACATAAGATGCATCAGGCTGATACTAGTGTATAAAATATATAAATTAGGTGGACAGGCATTAGGCAAGCTTGTGCTCTATGTTTCCTGAACCAAATTGTGCTCTAAAGTCGATGAAAAATTGCATAAAAATGAGAAATTTCGAAAATTGACATATTTTCTAGCCTTGCAGTGACTTTTGTACATCCGGTAACCTGGAATCAATAATCATTTTGTGGCAGGGGTGACAACAGGTTTTTTAATTGATAAACTATTGCATCAGTCTAGAAGAGACCCAGACCAGGGGCCAAAAAGGGGTCTTAGTCTATCTTATCCTTTCTATTAAAACCTAATTTTCTTTGAAAGGCATATAGCCTATTTGCAATCTACCGGTATAATCTCAAAATTGAATTGGAAATGGCAATTCCCTTACATGCCAAGAAAACCTTAGTAGTCTGTCCGAAGAGCGGACTCAATAAAAGCCGAATTAACGTTAATCTGTGAAACTCCCCCGAGAGATTTTGGCGAGGCAATTAATGTCAGCAGTTATGAGGGAAGGATCTTAAGTTTTACTGGGTTTAAAACATAGGTACAAAACTAATTATATAGAAGTCTTTGCACCCGTTCTTTTTTTTTGGGGGGGGGGAGGATGGGGGGGTCATATTTTTCCAATACTGTGAAAAAAGTAAGTTAAAATAAAAGAAAGTTAAAAATTATTAATTATAGTAAACTAATTCGTCAGTAGAAATATGCTGTCTTTCATTTTTTTACGTATTTCCATGTAGTTTTTTTTTCTGAGCATTAATTAACGTCGGGTACGATGAACTTGGTAGTTGTGGAAGTACCGCGCGTCGAATTATGGGAAAAAAGGTACCAGATTCCCGGAAGTTGACTAAATGGGTAGAGGTATCACACCGGTAATTGACCAATCAAAATGAACTTAGGTATCACACCGGTAATTGACCAATCAAAATGAACTTAGGTATCACACCGGTAATTGACCAATCAAAATGAACTTAGGTATCACACCAGTAATTGACCAATCAAAATGAACTTAGGTATCACACCGGTAATTGACCAATCAAAATGAACTTAGGTATCACACCGGTAATTGACCAATCAAAATGAACTTAGTCAAATGTAGGTCCATACATATAAAAATCAAAATGAACTTAGGTATCACACCGGTAATTGACCAATCAAAATGAACTTAGGTATCACAACCGGTAATTGACCAATCAAAATGAACTTAGTCAAATGTAGGTCCATACATATAAAATTGATTTTCCTTTCTTTTGAGACGTTTTTCTATTCTCTTCCAAGCCATTTTTACAACTTTGGTACATGTGCCTAGTAAATTTTATGTACTTTTTGAACAAATAAAGGTTTTTGACAGAAACTATTTTTTTTTCCCAGGAATAGGAGGCTACTTCCTGCGGTACACTCGGAATGTTTATAAACACATTGAAAACACGTGGATTTGAGGGTAGCCCTGTTTGCAGATGTGACGCAACTTGATTGGCTATGTTAATCTTTTCATTTTAATGTAAAAATATCACTGATAGAAATAAATGGTGGAATATATCAAGTATATTTTCTTTAACTAAGAAAGCTGAAAACCTATGATCCCCCCCTTAAAATCGAAATCTGCTGCCGTAAATTGTCTTCCTAGCGTTTGGGGAATATGGGTGATTTGCATCAATTACACTTTTATTGACTTCATCAGTGCGTAAACCGCACGATATTTCTTGGCATGAAAATAGATTTAGGATCATATATTGGTCCTTATGCAAAATGATTTTTAATTTATATTATCTACATGTATTTTGCATTCTTGTTTTTAATTGCTTTTTTTGCGGAAAAATATATTTTCTTTGTAATTTTTGTCAATGTCGAAAAGTGTTTTCTGAAAGATATAGATTTTGCCTTTATGTATTTACGTATTTATTATTTACCCAAGTATTAAAAAAACCCAGCATGATACAATATAGTTTTCTAACAAAATCAGAAAAGGTCGGGTCAAAGTCTTTTTCTTATATTCAGAATATTTTATTTTTTTGATAACTTTCATTCCTTCAAATTAACCTAGCCACACAGTTTTCTGAATGAAAAGTGATCAAAGATAACGAACAATGATCGAAGTCATAAACAAATCTGGACATAAGTTACACGGACAAACGGAAATTCCGGAGATGGGATAAAATGCTTTCTTTGGTTGTTAGTACGGGAATAAATGTCGCAGCTGTTGCAGAAAAAATACATAACCCGCGTAAGTGGGCTATGTAATTTTTTTCTGCAATAACTGAGATAATCATTCCCGTATTAACAAGCAATGAAAGTCATTTTTTGTTTATATTTATATCTGTGTGACTATAATGATTTAAAGTGGGATTAAAAAGATTTATTATTGTATTATTGATATGTCCGTCTTAATACATTTTATTGATAGAACAGCCACTGATCAAGAAATCCGTATAGGTGATATGCCTAGTGTTGTTCATGAACTGATTATAACGGCAATGGGATTTCTTAATAAATAAAGGAGAAAATATTCAGTGGATGTAATTATAAGATATCTTTAGATATTATTATTATCATTAGATAACGACCATAGAATTTAAAAATTGCTGACTTTAAAATAGTCTGTTGAAATCTCTGTAACATCAATTTATTGTGCATAGTCTGCCTGGATTTAAAAAAAATGATCATTCCCACGGCATGCAAGCTCTTGAGTAGCGAATAGAGTGGGAGACATAAACACCATATATAGGTGATAGCAGTCTGTTACTACGTTAGTAAGGAAAGATGACAATGGAAAAGGTAAAGTAATTTCTTTTGTTATACAATTTAGTTGTTAGTTGGTCTTTGTAGCCTATAGTAGGTAAATAGAAAGTAAATGTAGCAGACTCTATCGTGTCTTTTATATCACGTTTATGCTGGGATATATCAATTAAAACATGTCAATGTAAATGCCTAGTTGAAGAATATATAATAAAGGGTGCAGTTAGGATATTTAGGCAATCTGATTAAATTCAGATCCTCGATCCGCTCCTTTATTTTTTATGCTAGCTACACGAGGTCAACTGAGTACGAAAACTAAATCTTCAATATTGACTAGTCATTATATTTCTGTTTTTTTTTATTAATGACATTAAACAACTTTTTAAATAGTATTTGTTAAAAAAATTAGTTATCTCAAGTTTATTTATTAGCAGTAGCCTATTCACATTGAGGCCTAAACTAAACTGCTAAATCAATATTGATTTTCGTATAATGATTATATATAAATATGCACACAAAAATGTCACTATTTAGAGTCTGTCTATATAATATCAGTTATCTAATCTCAGGACTGATTGAAGACGTGGTTATATGTATAACTGAAATTATAATATTTGATTTTTTTTCTCATTTTTAAGTCGGAGGATGTTCTCTTTCTCGATTTGTGTTTTCCCTTGACATTCCGGAATTAAAAAGTCACACCAGAATATTTCAGTATTACAATCTCCAAGTGACCTTCACCAGCTTGGAGTGGTCAAGTCACCTCTGCAGAATTTACTCTCACCATGTTTTCGTTAACATTGAGACGTATTTCTGCAAAAACATTTATTGGATCGGTAAGATTTATGAATTAAGATTTTTTAAACGTAAACGTACACAATACACACTGCTTTCGTCATGTTTCCATGGTATATAAGGCATGACTGTTCACTGAGGTTATCGACAGTTGCAATTTGGGAAAGATTTGCTATTCTGCTATTCTTTTCATTTCCAATTCATGTAGGTCTTAGTTTTATTTTTGATGGGATTTATTAACTTAGTCTAATCAATTGCTTTAAGAGTAGTCACATGACAAATCAATGACATGTAATGTTTTATGATTGTTTTTATTGAAATATGTAGGATGTACACATATTTTAGACATTTTATGTCAGTAAATGGAAACTGCTGTATAGATTTGTTGATGTTGAATTATATTTTGGGCCTACCCAAGTTTTCCAGATTGCAAGTAAAATTAAAATGCCATTGTGAATTTTTAAAGCTATATATGAGGTATCTGAACTCAACATAAAAATAGAAATTCGAGATTAAGAGTAGATTTACATGATGCTTATTATTTACGTTCAAATTCAAATTTTCACTGATTTGGAAGTTGAATATTACCAAGTTTCTATAGTTAAATTGACTTTCAACTGTGTATGCTATTTGATTCCGAGCCTGAAATAAATTGGTTATTGTTTTAAATCTGTGATATCTTTGAAACGCTATTGATTAAAATTGTGTAATTTACAGGAAAGTGCAATCTTTACATAAAGAAACAAAACAAATAGATCGATCTTTTATTTTATTTAGTCTGAACTTATCAAAAATATGCCATATATGACTTTAAGGAGTGGGAGAAAGAGTTGGGATATAAGTCAGACTGAGCAGTGGTTTCTTTGGAAGTTTCAAGCTTCTAAACAATTTAACCTATTAGTATTACAGTTCTCAAGGAGAGTGAATGTTTAAAAGGATTTATATTTTATGGTTTTAAAATTTTGAGCTATACTTGTTATCAGTAATGTTTACGACATATTATCAACTAGGAAATGAATACACATGTAGATGTAGGATGTGATAAATTCATTAATCCTGAAGAAATTCATCATATTAAAAAAATGTACACATACATGTAATCTGAAAAAGATTTAAGATCAATCTATAAATGTTCGCATAATTTTTATCTGTAACTACTGAATTATTGCATAAAAATCTGAGAAAATCTTAAAGGGCAATACATACATGTATGAAGAAATGGATTGATTTCTGGTGACTCTTGGTCTTGGATTCTAAGGATTTATTATGTGTATTAATAATGACATGTTGACAATTGTTATAATCATTTATTTCCATCCTACATCATTTTCTAATTTCTATTGATTTATTGATAAAATTGTGAACTCCTGTGTTATTACTCTAAGTTGATTGTTTTTTCCTTTGTAGAGTGTGTCTGCAGTCAATGGGTGTAAATACTCCTCAGTACCAGAAGCCACTCTAGATATCCAGGTTTGTCAGAAATCACTATATATAACTGTGTAAAGAAAGATAAATCTATGAAAAATACCAATATATATAATAAACTTCTTGAGAGTCAATGTTTTCATTCTAAATGACTGTATAGCATCTAGTGTAGATTCAATGTGAGAGACTTTTTGGGAGGAGGGGAGGGGTTTGTAGAAAGAGAATTTTTTTTTTTTAATTTTGAACTTGTGTTTGTGATGTTGTCTGATAAAATACTTTTCTTTACTTTTCTTTGTAAAGATTTCATTGTTTCACTTGAGGATTGTTGAGTGAAAGGAATTAAAAGAGCAAAGTTCTTGCCAGAGCATAATTTTGAAACAGAATCTTTAGGGGCTGTTCATGTAGCTTTTAATATGATGTGTTTCTTGTTCTGCTACCAAAAGTTATTTTCAACAAGATCATGTGATGCTTTGGAAAAAACTATGCAAATCTAGACCTTTAAAAGCTTATAAGACAAACCTTTTGAACAAACATTGCATTGTTACAAAAATTGTGGGACACTCTGACAGTGGGAAACTTCATAAACATGATAAATCAGTGGTAGAAAGTATTTTAATAGCAGTGACATTTCTAATATTTCATTTATTTGATAAAATTTGATTTTCTTGACTGTCACTATATGCCTTACATTTATATAAAGTACGCTAAAATTTCCACGTTTGTGACCGCGTACATAGCGTAAATTAATAGCACACGGAAAAAAGTACGTCTACAGTATTTCATTTATTTGATAAAATTTGAAGAAAGAAAATGTCCAATGTCATCCTAATATCAAATAATGTAAAAAAAAAAATCAACTGCATGTATATTTTATTAGTTAGTGAACTTTATATATTGATTGTGAATTACAGCCCTGTCTCCTACACAAATTAGAACATGGTCCCCCGACTCAAGCCACCGTGACCAGGGAGGAAGCTGTTAAGTTTTATAAGGACATGGTGACAATCCGCCGGATGGAAACAATGGCTGGAAGTCTGTACAAATCTAAGAACATCCGTGGATTTTGCCATCTGTATTCTGGACAAGTAAGTAGAAAGAAAAAGCAATGATTTTGTAAGTTTTTTTTTTTGGAAAATCAATTGAAATAAAAAAACTACTGTAAACAAACTATTATTCGCCTCATCTTTTATTCGCGATTCGTCAGTTTAAGATCAAACCGTGACGATTAATTTCCGCGACCGAGGAAACATTCTCTGCAAATCATTAGCAAAATGAATGGTTTGTGGCGATTAATATTCGCGAGTTAAAGGAGGCAGCAGAACGGATATTTCTCGCACGCGAATAAAAGTTGGTCTACAGTATTTTTAAAAATTTTAATACATTGATGTAAGTACATGTACTTATAATTATCATGATTATCTTAGGTATTATCAGTGTTAATGATGAAACATGATTTTTTTCTGTATAAATGATCTTTAAAAAATAAAAACTTTCCTGACAAATATTTGGATGCTGTAACTTGTTTTTAATTAAATATGTATGCATGCCAGGCCTAGTAGTGAAAAATGAAAGAATTTCTGGCTGATATAAACCTATATTTATGTTAGATTAATTGTTTGCTTGCTAATTTTTCGTTTTCTTTCTGAATTGAATATCAATCTGCATGAATATGCATATTTCCTTGCATATTTTTAATGCTTTATGCTTCAAGTTTATTGGTTAAGTCATTTTGTGAATAAATCCATTAAAAATTAAGTTAGAAAAGGGGACACAACACTGGAAAAATCCATAGTGATAGAATTAAAATATCAACATGAACTCTCTCTCTTTTTTTTCTATTTTTTTTTCCTTGGCAAATTACATTTCTAAGATAAAATGTGAAAATCACTGAAAAACGTTCATGTCCACAATGTAAACACAGGAAGCATGTTGTGTCGGCATGGAGGCAGCCATTACTCCTGAGGATGCCGTAATTACCGCATACCGCGCCCACGGCTGGACATACATTAGGGGCATCAGTGTCCTAGGGGTGCTGGCAGAACTGACAGGTAGTACAAGGGAGATCACTCTACCTCCCATTGATGGGTTGTGGTTCTTTTGTTGATGTGACTATAAGTGTGACTGTTTTAACACTTCACTCTCACATATTTAGCATCACTAGGTCTAGGAAATTAATTTTATCTCGCTCATTATTAATTGATATTTTGCATGAAGTATTTAGATTAACTTTACATGTCAACATGTATGTTTGTGGTATATATATGTTTAAAGTTTAAGTATATATACTCGATTTTTTAGCTCTACTGGTCAGAGACCAGAAGAGCTTATGCGATAGTAATGTGTCCGGCGTCCGTCCGTCCGTCCGTCCGTCCGTCTGTCTGTCTGTCTGTCTGTAAACAATCTTTCAAAATGCTACTCCTCCTACAGTTTTGGTCTGATTTCAATATAACTTGGCACACAAGTAGACTACACTAAGATACATAATTCTGTGTATCGGTTTTTGATTTCGATGAACGGTGTTGCCGTGGTTACTAAAAATAGAAATTTCTGTGAAATTCTTTCAAAATACTACTCCTTCTAAATTTTTGGTCTGATTTCAATATAACTTAGCACACAAGTAGACCACACTAAGATACATAATTCTGTGTATCGATTTTGGATTTTGATGAACGATGTTGCCGTTGTTGCTAAAAATAGAAATTTCTGTGAAATTCTTTCAAAATGCTACTTCTCCTACAGTTTTGGTCTGATTTCAATATAACTTGGCACACAAGTAGACTACACTAAGATACATAATTCTGTGTATCGGTTTTTGATTTCGATTAACGGTGTTGCCGTTGTTACTTAAAATAGAAATTTCTATGAAATTCTTTCAAAATGCTACTCCTCCTACAGTTTTGGTCTGATTTCAATATAACTTGGCACACAAGTAGACTACACTAAGATAAATAATTCTGTTTATCAGTTTTTGATTTTGATGAACGGTGTTGCCGTTGTTACTAAAAATAGAAAATTTTGTGGAATTCTTTCAAAATGCTACTCCTCCTACAGTTTTGGTCTGATTTCAGTATAACTTGGCACACAAGTAGACTATACTAAGATACATAATTCTGTGTATCGGTTTTTGATTTCGATGAACGGTGTTGCCATGGTAACTAAAAATAGAAATTTCTGTTAAAAAATCTCAAAATGCTACTCCTCCTGCAGTTTAAGTCTGATTATAATATAATGAAAGAGACTTAATCAAGGATCATTATTCTTTTTATTGCTGTGGTAAAGTTTCAATTCCCAACTGCTTAAGAACTTTTCCCTTCCATTGCTATAAGAACAAACCAGTAGAGCATCAGTCTCGACAGAGACTTCTGGTTTTGGTTTGGATTTTGGTGTGTGGTGTGAATGTATCCTTTGCTTTCATGAAAATCTTTTGGGCACATTGCTAACAAATTTTTGTGTTGTATTATCTATTTAACAAAACAGAAATTAATAAAAATTAAGAAAACCTGTAGGGACATTTTAATATCGTAGATGTTGTAAGACTGACATTTGCGAAAGATGTGGCATGATAAGTAATAAAGATTATGTTGTCAAAAAAGCCCAACTTTGCATAGATGTTTTTTATTTTTAAGATAAGCCTGCTGTATATTCTTAGCATCTGCATTTTTTGGACAACAAAACATTTTCAGCTACTGTCCCTGCTCCTGTGTAGCTTTACTATTTATTATCGTAATGCCTTGCCAGCGAGCAGCACTAACAGGTAACCATTATGTGGCTTCACTGCATCATGGATTAACAAAAGTTAACCTTATTTTATACAATGGGACTTGATTTTAGGAAGCGGTGTGTGTAGGTATGGAGTCTAGTATTACTAAAGACGATGCTGTGATCACGGCTTACAGAGCTCACGGCTGGACTTACATGAGGGGTGTACCAGTACATGGAATTCTGGGGGAATTAACAGGTAGACCAGCATGTTTCCTACAGCTGCCAAGGAAACTGCATGAATTTCAGATTCTCATCCTTTTTTTTTTTTTTTTGATAATTTGAGTTTAATTTTAAATTATGAAATTGTTGATTTCTTGTTTTATCTTCCACAATTAATAGTTATATAGGTTTAGGATTTTTACTTACCTGTGAAAAGAGAGATGTTTGTTAATAGTAAATTATAAACATTAATCTCTGTTCACTCTATCCATGTAAAGTCTGATATTATTTTCTCTTATGGAAGTTATTCAACTTTCTCTTTCAAACTTGCTACATATATAACCAGGGATACAGTTCTAGTCATTTGAAAAACAAAAGCTCAGTACTCAGAACAAAGATATTTTAATACAAATGTTGTGGACACAATATATAGAAGATCATTAGACCAACTGCTACATACCTAGGTGATTTACTAAAGAAATATGTCTAAGTATTGGAAGATCAAAAGGATAAAATTAAAGTAATAGTGTAATGTTCATCAGGTGTAGAAATTGGAATTCAAATTCTAAAATTTTTTCTTGAGGAAGCTGAGCAAGACACAAGCATACTCAACTGAGGGTCATAATGTCAAAGGTCATATAATGGGGGGTACATATATATCTTCTTAACAATGTAGATACATGCAGCTTTGCATCCTTGGTCTTTTGTTTGTTATAGAGAAAGATATTTTGACAAGAGGAGCTTTCTGTTTCAATTAATGGTCAAATCCTAAGGTCAATTAAAGCTCATACTTTCATAAATCAAAGGGTCTAAAGGTCAAAGGCAGCAGTTGATATATGTCACTGTGTGAAGTCAGTATAAAGTCTTATTTAAACAAATTGTCTTTTGAAATTAGATTTGTTGTGAAAAGATGCTCAACTTTGCTGGGGCCTTCTTTCATATTTCAGAGATTTTCTATTAATCTATTAACAAGTTCATTATTATAATACATTGTACTTTAGTATGCATATAAATAATATAACTAACAAATATATACTTCTATTTAATTGTATCAGTTGCCTTTCAGGTGTAAGTTATAAATGCATTAAACAGAAATTAAAATGTTTACATAATATTGTCATTATTTTGTACATGACTGCTATAATGATTTATTAAAAACATCTTTAAAAAATATTATTTAAAAACCATTGATTTGATGTGAATGCAAAATTTATATAATTACATGTATATTATTACATAATTAAATAAAATGGTGAAGATAAGTAAATTGTTAAAATATGTGCATTTTCACGGTAGCATTTGATTACATTGTGTACAATAAAAAGCATTCACTTTTTTTCTTAGGTCGTGCGTCTGGTTGTGCCAAGGGGAAAGGAGGTTCTATGCACATGTACACTAAGAACTTTTATGGAGGGAATGGCATAGTTGGAGCACAGGTAAAATGTTCTATATCATATATAATTACTACATTGACTAGGTTGGGTCATATTTATTTTCTAAGTTTTGCACAGGAATATCAGGGAATATTGTTTCAAAACAAATCTGTTATGTATCATAAATTGATCTATGAATCCAAATAAGAGGATATATTTTACCATTTATTTAGTAATTCTGTAAATCTTAAAGAAGTACACAGTTTTTTAAACATTGAATTTTATGTACCTGTCTTTTTTTCCGAATATAGAAAAACTCAAAAATGGGATTTGTTCTGATTCGTTAAGTCATAAGAGAGGAATTTGCATTTTGCACATGTAAATTAAAAAGGGAAAGTGCATATGGAAACATTTAAGATTATTCAAGGCATAGATTAAAAAAAAATTAATGCTGGTTTAAGTATTTTGTTTCGCTTATAAGTACATGTGTAGGTCACTTTTTTTAATAGATAAAGGTCTTAGTTGCTTCCATATTATTGGATTATTATGTGAGAAATACCTCTGACATAGGTACCTCTTGGAGCTGGAATTGCCTTTGCCTTGAAGTACGACAATAAGCCAAACATCTGTATCACCTTATACGGAGATGGAGCTGCTAATCAAGGCCAGCTGTTTGAGGCCTTTAACATGGCTAAGCTGTGGAACTTGCCCTGTGTGTTTGTCTGTGAGAACAATGGCTATGGTATGGGGACAAGTGTAGAGAGGGCATCAGCCAGCACAGATTACTATACCAGGGGGGACTATGTTCCAGGAATGAGAGTAAGTGTAAAATGTTCATATAAGTTTGAATCCTGGGGGAGGGGAGAAAGGTACAGTTAGGTTCAATTTCTTTGACTCTACTTTTTTAAATGTTTTTAATAATAGATGAAAAATCGTATTATATTAAGTAATTAACATGTTATTATATCTTCACCTGTTAAATGAATTGTTTTTTCACTAAGCATGTTTAGTCAGTATAAAGTGTCAAATTTTTATTTGTTAATTGATTCAGTTCAGCACAGGAACAGGTATTTCTCACGTATTGAAGTAATACACTGTGCAATTGAATGTGCCCTTTATAACATTTTATATACATCTATAATATGAATAGAAACAGATGCAGGAATATCAACTGAAGTTCAAGGTCCTATTTTTAGCTCACCTGAGCCGAAGGCTCAAGTGAGCTTTTCTGATCACATTTTGTCCGTCGCCCGTCCGTCTGTCCGTCCGTCTGTCCGTCTGTAAACTTTTCACATTTTCAACTTCTTCTCAAGAACCACTGGGCCAATTTTGACCAAACTTGGTACAAAGCATCCTTGGGTAAAGGGGAATTTAAATTGTTAAAATGAAGGGACATATCCCCTCGCAAGGGGAGATAATCAAGAAAAGACAAAAATAGGGTTGGGTCATTAAAAAATCTTCTCAAGAACCACTGGGCAGAACCACTGGGCCAGAAAAGCTGAAACTTATGTTGAAGCATCCTGGGGTAGTGTAGATTCTAAATTGTTCAAATCATGACCCCCGGGGGAAGGGCGGGGCCACAATGGGGAATCAAAGTTTTATATAGAAGTATATAGGAAAAATCTTTGAAAATCTTCTCAAGAACCACTGGGCCAGAAAAGCTGAAACTTATGTGGAAGCATCCTGGTATAGTGTAGATTCTAAATTGTTCACATCATGACCCCCGGGGGAAGGGCGGGGCCACAATGGGGAATCAAAGTTTTATATAGAAATATATAGGAAAAATCTTTGAAAATCTTGTTCTCAAGAACCACTGGGCCAGAAAAGCTGAAACTTATGTGGAAGCATCCTGGTGTAATGTAGATTCTAAATTGTTCAAATAATGCCCCCCAGGGGAAGGGCGGGGCCACAATGGGGAATCAAAGTTTTATATAGAAATACATGTATATAGGAAAAATCTTTGAAAATCTTCTTCTCAAGAACCACTGGGCCAGAAAAGCTGAAACTTATGTGGAATCATCCTGGTATAATGTAGATTCTAAATTGTTCAAATAATGACCCATGGGGGAAGGGCGGGGCCACAATGGGGAATCAAAGTTTTATATAGAAATATATAGGAAAAATCTTTGAAAATCTGTTTTGGGCCAGAAAAGCCGAAACTTATGTGGAAGCATCCTGGTATAGTGTAGATTCTAAATTGTTCACATCATGACCCCCGGGGGAAGGGCAGGGCCACAATGGGGTATCAAAGTTTTACATACAAATATATAGGAAAAATCTTTGAAAATCTTGTTCTCAAGAACCACTGGGCCAGAAAAGCTGAAACTTATGTGGAATCATCCTGGTATAATGTAGATTTTAAATTGTTCAAATAATGACCCATGGGGGAAGAGCGGGGCCACAATGGGGAATCAAAGTTTTATATAGAAATATATAGGAAAAATCTTTGAAAATCTTCTCAAGAACCACTGGGCCAGAAAAAGTGAAGCTTATGTGGAAGCATTCTGGGGTAGTGTAAATTCTAAATTGTAGGAATCATGACCCCCGGGGAAGGGCGGGGCCATTATAGGGAATCAAAGTTTTACATAGAAATATATAGGAAAAATCTTTGAAAATCTTCTTCTCAGGAACCACTGGGCCAAAAAAGCTGAAACATATGTGCCCATGGAAGGATCATGGGGTAGTGTAGATTTCAAAATGTCTAAATTATGATCAGTGGGGTAGGGTGGGGATGCATTATGTATAACAAGGGTGAAATCTGGTAAAGAACAGAATGGTCAAAGCTTCTCAGGTGAGCGATGTGGCCCATTGGCCTCTTGTTTTGCTCGTGTTTGTGGTTTTAATTTAATTAAGTATGTGTGCTGTATTTATAGGTAGATGGTATGGATGTTCTAGCAGTGAGGGAAGCAACAAAGTTTGCGAGGGACTATGCACTTCATAATGGACCTATTCTTATAGAGGCAGCAACCTACCGTTACCATGGGCACAGTATGAGTGACCCAGGAACTAGGTACATATGCACTTAAGTTCTGAAGAAGACAAGACTTTCAGTATGGTTTTCAAAAAAAAAAAAAAACTCATGTAAAAATAAATTAACTTGAAACATGTTAGAAAGTCTTAGTATGATTTCTGAAAGGTTTTAAAGTCTATTTAGTATTAGTTTTTTTTAAAGTCATATTATAAATTTTTTCCCTTGTAGTTATCGACCTCGTGAGGAGATTAAAGAAATTCGCGAAACTAGGGACCCTATAACTGTATTCAAACGTAAAATCACAGACAATAACCTTGTTACTCCAGAGGAATTAAAGGTAAGACTACTCTGTGTTGTTACATGTATCTCTCTTGATAAGGGAACCAGCTATATATACATATATGTGTGTACTTTGCTTGAAAAGTTAATGAAAGGGAGGAATTTTATGTAAGCTAGTTTTACAGTTTTCATTCAAGTTAATTTCGGTATTGGTAAAGTATTTCCTTACAAACTTGTTCTGATGTATTTCATTTAGATAAGTTTCTTGATATCAGTTTCTTATTTGTTTCTTAAATACCTGTTACCAAGTTTCATAATTAGTAAATGTAAAAGTATTAGAATATTTAGCCTCCATGTAACCAGTTTTATTTTGTTTCTTTGTAGAAAATTGATCAGGAAATAAAGAAAGAAATTGACAAGGCAGCAGAACAGGCCAAGAATGACCCAGAAATTCCCTTAGAAGAGCTCTACAATAATGTTTACATTAACCCCGAACCTGATTTTGTGGTCCGAGGATGTGATCCCAGTATAAGGGTCGTGTCAAGATGAGTGAACTCTACCTAAAAATAGATGTGTCAAATGTCCAGATAAGTGTGGGTATCATTGATATAGAAGAAGGAGTTTTTATCATATCATAGTGCCGATAAAATGGATGTGATATTTATTAAGGGGACTGAAAATACTCACCTTTGAAGGTTCTTGTGTTGGTAAGAATTTCCATGAAGTATTATGGATGTGTTTGTTGATGTTATGGAAAATAATTCGCTTTATAAATATCTGGTGACTTACCTAGGAAAAAGGAGAATTTTTAAACTACCAGTTGTTAATGTTTTTTGTAGTTAATGGTATTCAAAAGTAAATCGAAATCTCAAGAGTTAGTGTCCAGTTTTATTTTGTTACATGTACATTCATTAAATTGTTATTAACTAGCTGTGATTTTTATGCTTTATACATTTTATTTCATTCCTTTATTTAGTCAACTTCCTAAATTTAAATAAATATACAAAATCCTCTTCTTCTTTTAGTTGGCACATCTTAAGGTCTCTGTAGAATAATTAAGTGAATTTATATGAAGTCTGACAGGTCTTTCTGAATTTTTACTGAATTTGTAACCATATAACATTGTTTGAAGTTAAGGAGAGCTAATATCAGGCATCCTTCCACCAAGGCTAAATGTCTTGGAGATGAAAGTGTCACTGTTACCATGAATGAGGTATTAAGGGATACAAAGTTTATTGATTTACTGATTGGACATATTTTTGAGTTGAGGACTAATGATAGCTTTAGAGCGTATTTTTGCACAGATGAAATTTGAAGATGATGAACAGAAACCAAATTTAATAATAATATTTCACTACTGAACATAACAATTATGAAAACGAGCAAAAACAGAAGTAAATAAATGATAAAATTTAATATGATAATAATGTGTTGACCTGCAACTTAAATGCTTAATATTTCATGGATTCAAGTGCTGTGTCAAAATCACTTATTTCACAATAGAGATTTCTGGGATTTCTGGGATGCTTCCAATTATATGTATAAACTTCGGGTCCACATGTGTCTTGAATGCCTTAACCATATGTTCAGTATTTATCCACTTTCCTCCAATTGTCTTTGTGGGAACATTAGCTCTTGGCCAATTAACAATTTAATGAAGCAATTAAATCCTCCATTTTAAACGAAAGGATTATACCGTAAATCTGGAAATTTTTACGTCGATTTTATTTTGCGAATTCGGGTCAAAATGCTGTTGATGATTTTTTACGTTTCAAAATTTTGCTCACTCAAAATGATCACCGATTTCTTTACATTTTCTTATTGGTGATTTATATTTAAGAAAAATATTTTTGCGAATGCAATGCACTCGCAAATTTGCTAAAGATTTATCTACAGCAAAAATTTCCAGATTTACGGTATAAACTACAGGATTTACTATATAATTCATTTTGTTCAAAAAGAAATGAACCTAAAAACAAATCGCATGCATTATTAATTTGGCAAATGAAAACGTTTCCTTTACTGCATCTCAAAATTACAATATACCACAGAATATTGAATTTAACATTTTAATTAAAAACGAAAGGAAATTTATGAACAACTCAAATTAATAACTGTGATAAATTTCTCAAATATATTTTTCAAAAACTAACATTCTTAAGCATTATTCTAAGAAGAAAGGACAAGGTATGGTAATCGCTGAATCTGGCCTCTTAGCAAGCTAGAGCACAAAAAAATCCCGCTCTTCATAATAATGTACAGTGGGATATATTTTTTGTGGAACGATTATTTTAGGAGTTTCACGATTTTTCCCATGGTACACATGGTGAATAAGTGTAATAAATATTATTTGTAAAAAAAACAAAAAAAAAAAACAAAAACAAACAAGAGGTCCATGGGCCACATCGTTCACCTGAGTAGCTTTGACCGTGTTGTTCTTTACCAAACGGCAATGTCCCCCCTTGTAATACATATTGTGACCCAACCCTACCACATGGGTCATAATTTGGAGAATTTAAAATCTACACTACACACGGATGCTACCACATAAATTTCAGTTTTTCTGGCCCAGTTGTTTCTGTGGAGAAAATTTTTAAAGTATTTTCCTATATATTTCAATTTAAAACTTGTGTTTTTCCCTACTGTGGCCTCGTCTTTTTTTCCCTATATATTTCTATGTAAAACTTTGATTCCTTACTTTAGCCCCGCCCTGCCCCCGGGGGTCATGATTTGAACAATTTAGAATCTACACTACCCCAGGATGCTTCCACGTAAGTTTCAGCTTTTCTGGTCCAGTGGTTCTAGAGAAGAAGATTTTTAAAGTTTGTTCCTACAGTGTATATATTTCTATGTAAAACTTTGATTCCCTTTTGTGGCCCCGCCCTACCCCCGGGGGTCATGATTTGAACAAGTTAGAATCTACACTACCCCAGGATGCTTCCACATAAGTTTCAGCTTTTCTGGCCCAGCAGTTCTTGAGAAGAAGATTTTTAAAGTTTTTTCCTATATATTTCTAATATGAAAATTTGATTCCCTATTGTGGCCCCTCCCTACCCCACCCTATTTTTGTCTTTTCTTGATTATCTCCCCTTGTGAAGGGACTTGGCCCTTGAATTGAAAAATTTAAACTCACCTTCACCCAAAGATGCTTTGTACGAAGTTGGGTAAAATTGGCCCAGTGGTTCTTGAGAAGAAGTCGAAAATGTGAAAAGTTTACAGACGGACGGACGACGGACAAAATGTGATCAGAAAAGCTCACTTGATCCTTCGGCTTAGGTGAGCTAAAAAAAAGTCCAAGCCCCGGGGTTGAATATCGGGAGGGGAAGGGGTCCTATCCACAAGTACCTGTAGGACAATTAAGGTCCTTTGGACCAAAAATTTTCCCTACATTAACCCAACCAAAAAAATCCTCATTTTGAATCTATATATACTTATTCTCCATATGAATTAGAAGATATATATATATATATTTCTCAGTTGATTCTCAGTAGCTTATATATCTCAGTTGATTCGATACGCAAGAGCATGCTCTACGTATGAACAATTTCTACAACGAGGTAAATTATTGACAATTAAACAAGTTGATGAAACACGAATTTCAGCTGCCTCGTTTAAAGTCATCATTTCGTAAGTTTTATGGTCGATACAATGACATTGTCAGCAAATCCAATTTATCATTGAGTCAAATGCTGACTGCCGTTTTCTATGCTAATTGTAAGTCCATTATTTATACACTAAATTGACGACGGATTTTTCCCAATCTTTCCCGATCATGACAAGGACCACACAGCGGGTGTAACTGGTCGGCAGGGGATGCTCACTCCTCCATGGCACCTGATCCCACCTCCGATGATTTGGAGGTCCGTGTTAGCTTTGCTCCAATTTTGCATTGTTCAATGGACATTTGATCTTGAATACTGTTCGTCATCTCCATATGTTTCATGAATTAACTATTCTAAGATTTTTTTACGGACTTTTCTCTCTAAATTTCCAATTGAAACATTCGTCCCTATTGTGGCCAGATCCTCCCCTACAGACCTACGGAATCTGTTTAGGTTGATTGATTGTAATTGTTTATCGTCTTTCTCGAGAATTTTTCACTCATATGGAGACGCCACCACTTCACGGCGGGGAATCTACGTCATCGTACGGGATTAGGACACACAAAAATGGAGGACAAATGCTCCGCTTCAATGTAAGAAATTGATATTTTTGCATTTATAAAGAATGGATATTAAATCAGTATCCTGCCTAAAGTATGCCGAAGAACTTCAACTACAATATATATTGTACGTTTGTTCGTGATAGAATCTTATTGCTCCAAACACTTCGACACAGTTTGAAAACAAGTGAGAAAAACCCGGGATGTGGGGCACACATTTTTAAAATTCGACCTATTATTCGCATGTCCAGATGTACTAGACATTTTATTCTTCCGCGTTTACACTAGAACTAATATTTTTAAAAAATCCAGATTTGTTTAATAGTTTATTATGCTTTAATTATCCAAGAAAAAAGTATAAATCATTTTGTTTTCAGAAATGATGTAGGGCACACCAACACTAAAACGGATATGGGACACACATTAAGTTACTTTCAAATTGAAACATCGAGCATTCATATCTTAATGTTTCCACTTAAATGACTGCTGTTTGGTAGTATATATGAACAATGACCTGTACAACACATCTTTGTAATACTCATCCAAATATTTGATTTTCCCTTGGTTTGCTTGTATCCATACAAAAATTCAAATATTATAAGTTGAAATGGCCTGCATGACCCTCAACAAAAGCTGCCAAAATGAATTTCAAATTTTGACTTTTATTAAATATCATATTGAAAGATACTAGTATATACATGTGCGGATCTAAATGGAGGGTTGAAGTCCGGAGTCTATGTATATTTTACGTACTCTACGATAATTCTGTGTTAAGTAACACGACCCAGACCCTATTGAACACGCATGAAAAAGCTTTTTTTTTAGGTTGATTGTTTAATTTCTTTGCTTGTAAAAACATTTTGGAGTCAGAACTTTTTTTTTAGTTTGTTTGGACCCCCCCCCCTCTCTCTCCTCGAAAAGTTTCTATATTCGTTCAGTGTTTGTATTTATTAGATCTTTGTCGGCAAGACTCTAGTATGTCAGCTGATAGGAAGCGGAGATTAAGGAACTTTTCTTATGCTCAACTATTTGCAACAGCTGACAAACTTGTGTCAAAATTCTAATAGTTTATTACCGACTCCATATTTGAGAAAAAAGACAAAGATGAATATTGTACTTCGAAGGTGGCTAAATCATCGTATTGATTGAATAAACCCAACAATTATTGTTTTATTATACATGTATGAATCAGTGATTAAATATTACGTACTCATAAAGCAGTTCATGCCATCTTATTTACATTTGCTAGAATATTAGCCAAAAGTAATGATAGGAGCAGGGTTTAATAAATCATACTATAGCAGTATAAATTGGGATTTTTTGTAAAAAGTACTTTATTAGCTATACCAAAAAAAATAATAATAATAATGTCAAGCTCTTTTATAGGATAAGTTTTTTTTTTTTTGGGGGGGGGGGGGGCATTATAAGAGAAAAATGACAGCTAAAAACCTTTGATTGGCAACAACGAAAAGACAATTTTTAACTTCAATTTTTGTTTTGGCCCTCCCCATCATTGGCAACCACTTTCACACATGTACATTCGATTACTAATTTTATGTTCACCTGAATGCAAGTTAGTAGCAAATAAAATAGCTTTCCGAAACTATTTGTTTCAATTTGGAATTTCCCGATCTATTTTTTAGACCATTGTAGTATGTGTAGGGGAAAAAATTCTTATATTCACCTGGAGGGTCAGCTGTTGCAAATATTTGAGCATAAGAAAAGTTCTTGATCTCTTTCCCATATCAATAGACATGCTAGTGCCGAAGATCTTATTATTTATACCAATATGCAGATTTAGGAACTTTTTCAAGATGGAAAGGGGGGGGGGGGGGTCCACACAAACTCCAAAGAATTTTCTGAATCCAAACTATTTTTTGTTTGGACACAAGCAAACCAAGGGAATCAAGTATGTGGATGAGTTTTACAGGTTATTGTAACATCTAACAGCAGTCATTTAAATGGAAACATTAAGATATGAAGGCTCGATGTTTCAATTTGAAAGTAACTTAATGTGTGTCCCATATCCGTTTTAGTGTTGGTGTGCCCTACATCATTTCTGAAAACAAAATGATTTATACTTTTTTCTTAGATAATTAAAGCATAATAAACTATTAAACAAATCTGGATTTTTTAAAATATTAGTTCTAGTGTAAACGCGGAAGAATAAAATGTCTAGTGCATCTGGACATGCAAATGATAGGTCGAATTTTAAAAATGTGTGCCCCACATCCCGGGTTTTTCTCACTTGTTTTCAAACTGTGTCGAAGTGTTTGGAGCAATAAGATTCTATCACGAACAAACGTACAATATATATTGTAGTTGACGTTCTTCGGCATACTTTAGGCAGGATACTGATTTAATATCCATTCTTTATAAATGCAAAAATATCAATTTCTTACATTGAAGCGGAGCATTTGTCCTCCATTTTTGTGTGTCCTAATCCCGTACGATGACGTAGATTCCCCGCCGTGCACTTGCAGGTGGGGAGCAGCAAATTTTGTCCTTTACACGGCACTTAGGGCCATTGAGCAGGGAGGGATCTTTTTCGTACCACCACCTACTGCAACACGGGACCTCGTTTTTTATGGTCTCATCCGAAGAACCGGTCTTTAACGTTCCACAGTAGGATTCGAACCCGCGACGTAAGGATCAACTCCTTACTTCGCGATTCTAGAGCAGACGCGCTAACCACTGCGCCACGCGGGCGACGGATCTGTTTAGATACTAGAATCTGTTCTATTGATGATGTATGGTTATCTCACGTTTGCACTACTGTTCTTTTGGTATACCAGCCGAGCTTCTTGGAAAAAAGAATATCCAGCGTTAGACAATAAATTTGTGTAGCAGAAAGCCAGAATGGCAGAAGGGAAACTACGCAGAATATTTAGTTCCTATTTGGACTGCGTAAAAAGTTCAGACTGAATATCATATCCATGCATCAACAAGCAGATAGAATAGTGTTTTCAAGGGATGTTTAAATAATTATGCTAAACTCGAAGAAAAATAATCAATACTTCAGTGCATTCAGGTACATTCGTACAAAGGTGTAAACATTGGGAAGATATTTTCTCGTGTGCTTAACTTTCAAATGAACAAACACTCAAAGATGGACAAATTTCATAAATCAATTTGTGATAAAAACATGGATACTTTTCGAAAGACGTGGTATGAAAGTGGAGGCATAACGTCTAGCGATGTTAAGGCAGTCATCCGTACGGTATCAGAACAAGGGTTTGTTGAAGGACTCCGCTTCATAGTAAGGGAACGAGGTACAGAATGTCTTCATCTTTCAAAAAATATGACGTGTTCCATGTGGCATGCAAAGCTGAACAAACTGAGGTTGTAAAGTTTTTGATAACGCTGGAGGAATTTGACAAAATTACATTACTTAATAGTGAATTTTGGGACAGTTTATCCAAGTGGTCTGAGGCAAATATAATCGAAGTTATAAGTGAATTAGTAGCATGTGGAAAAATTGACATAAATAAAACGATACCACCACGAGGCGTTTCTCTGCTTTTTCATGCAATTGAAAATAGAAGGAAGCTTTTAGCTGATTATCTTATTCGACATGGAGCCGATGTTACATTTGTTGGTAAATGTGATGTGCTAGGAACTATCAATTGTACTTGCCTCTCGGCATACCAAATTCCATCTCTTCTTCCGGATTTACTGAAAAGGGGAGGGAATGCAAATGATATATATGATAAGAGTGGACAGTCAGTTTTGATGTTGGCATTTAGAAATGATGCAGACCGGAAAACAATAGAAGACATTGTACGTGCTGGAGCAAATTTGAAATGGAAAGACAACTCTTTCCATGTTAACATCAATAGGTTTGAATCAGCCGATCGAGAAACGTGTTCTTTGTTTGTTTTCACCTATGTCCTTTAGCAGTCTTGTTTTCAACATTTTTAGTAAAATCCTACTAAGATATTTTACTAAACAGCTTACGGGTGTATCTCTATCCATAAGAAAAAGAAAACTGTTTACTTGAAGCGTTTTTAAGATGCCTGTTGTACATATTGCTTAAAATTCAAAGAATGCAACACCCTTGTTAAAATAATTATCTTTTTAAGAATGCGTATTTTTCTTCCAGGCAAAGCTTGAGTTTTTATTTTCTTTAAATTGCACTATTCAGTGGTGTTTAATAATTTCTTTCAAAATCTTCTTTAAATTGCACTCTTCAGTGGTGTTAATAACTTCAAAGTTATTTTACTGAACATAAAATGTTTCAAGAAAAATGCTTAGGGCTAGATCTTCATCTGACTTAGTCTTTTCCGTTTGACTACATTGAACAATAGACTCTTCTTCGAAAGAGACCTTAAAAATTGATAACTCGTGTAACAGCGAGCATTGGCATGGTTGAAGACCATTGTTGCTATATGGCCCTCAATGCCGAGTATGTGTAAACTGGAAGCCTGGTGTATGGTAACAACCCCCATAAGAATGAAAAGATATCGAAAGGAACGTGAAGCAATTAAAATATAAATCAATAGATTAATATAAGTAACAAAAGAAGTTTTTATATACATTGTAGTTTATTCTGTATATAATTATCTTGATAGATATTTTCAAATCAAGAATTACACAATACAATTCATTGTTATCCTGTTTCTCAAATGCATCTATAGCTTCTCCAATATTTTATAATAAAATTTCCTCTTCGACTTTCACATCATCATATCTATTTTTAGGTCACCTGAGTCGCTAAGGTGACCTATTGCTATCCGTTTTCGTCCGTCGTCGTGCGTCGTCCGTCGTCCATCGTGTGTTAACATTTGAACATTTTCAGCTTCTTCTCTGAAACCACTGAACCAATTTCAACCAAATGGTATACAGCATGTATGGGTGAAGGGGAACAAAAATTGTGAATTTTATGGTCCGCGCTCCCCTGGGGCCTGAGGGGTGGGGCCAAAACCATTAAAATTAATGAAATCTTTAAAAATCTTCTTCTTTACTCCTGGACATCAAGCAGTCAAACTGTTTGCATGATTGTCATCAGCATTGAGTCCTCTACCAAAATTGTGAAATTCATGACCCTGGGGTCAGGGGTTCTAGTGCTAGGGCGGGGCTAAATAAGTATATAGTGAAAATGCATTATTTCTTTGAAAATCTTCTTCTCTGCTCCTGGGTATTAAATAAACTAACTAAGTTCTGTACATAGTTATGATGAGCAAGAGTGCCTCTACCAAAATTGTGAATTTTATGACCCCAGGGTCAGGGGTTCTGGTGTTACGGCAGGGCTCTATTGGTTATATAGTGAAAATACATGAATTCTTTGAAAATCTTTTTCTCTGCTCCTAGGTATTAAATAAACTAACTAAGTGCATAGTTATGATGAGCAAGAGTGCCTCTACCAAAATTGTGAATTTTATGGCCCCAGGGTCAGGGGTTCTGGTGTTAGGGCGGGGCTCTATTGATTATATAGTGAAAATACATGAATTCTTTGAAAATCTTCTTCTCTGCTCCTAGGTATTAAATAAACTAACTAAGTTCTGTACATAGTTATGATAAGCAAGAGTGCCTCTACCAAAATTGTGAATTTTATGGCCCCAGGGTCAGGGGTTCTGGTGTTAGGGTGGGGATCTATCGGTTATATAGTAAAAATACATTAAATCTTTGAAAATTTTCTTCTCTGCTCCTGGGTTTTGAGCAGATGAACTACCTATATAGTTATGATGAGCAAGGGCCCTAATCTTCCAGAATTGTGAATTGCAAGGCCCCAGGATCAGGGGTACCATAGAGAAGGGGAGCTGTACTTATATACTGAAAATGAATGAATTGTTTCAAATCTGCTCCTTGGTATTAATCAAATATTTTTGAAAAGCAAGGATGCCTTTTCAAAAATTGTGCGATGTGTGGATCTAGGCCTAAGGATCAGGGGTTCATGCATGGTAGGGACACTACTGATTATTGCTGAATATTACTGAATAGTTGAAATTAGGGATGTAAAATCGGTCAATATTTGATAATCGGTTACTCGGACGTTTTTCCGATCGAGTACCCGGGTACTCGGTAAAATTGTAAATACAAGTCTGTTAATTTTAATCTTAAACCCAGTTGAGCTCTGTAATTTAACCCCAATGTTGTTTTTCATAACGTTTTAGCGCATGTTTAAAAACGTCGAGTCCACCGAAAAGTATTTATTGTACTTCATTTATTTATTTAACATAAAAGATATCAATTTGATTCACCAAGAATTACAAATTAAAGATTGACAGTTCTTGTTTGGGAAGACACTTCAATCAATCTGCCATGCACCTTTGTAATGACCACACTAGCAAAGCTCGAAGTAGAAGGAATGGACGTTGTTGGAATGAGTTGTCGTATATTGTTATTGTCCTGTATACGCTTTATTTATTCCACAGAGCTGACTTTTAAATTTTTTTTCAATCTTCAATTTCATGTATTACATACATTTTCTTTACATTTTTAATATATTTATGCATGCCGGATTTCGGTACCGTTTACTAAATAATTTAAAATAATTTAAAGATAAAAGCACATACTTAAACGATCATCTATGAAAACAAATCATTGAAGCCATCCAAAAATTAAGGATCCCAATAGTTTAGAAAAGCTGTTAATCGGCCACTAACTACTGTATATACAGTGCCACAGGCTATAACGGGTGTTTACAGGTGTAGACGACGACACGCTAATTATCGTATGCACATTAAAGTCATTTTTTGTTAAATTTTTGATACATATATCTATTTTGGAATAAGAAAAAATAGACATCCGAGTAACCAAGTACCAGATTTAGTATCCGATACTCGAACGTTCGATCGAGTACCCGGTTAACCTGGTACTCGTTGACATCCCTTGTTGAAATGCATTTTTTGTTCCCCTACCCTGCCTATGGGTATTAAGTAACCAAACTAAGCAACTGCTAAGTGTAAGTTATGATGATCAATGGTGCCTCTTTCAAAATTGTGAATGCCATAGCATCTGGCTTAAATCTTGAATCAAATTCAATCACTGGAAAGTTGTTGCATAATGCTCAGGTGACCTATAAGGCCCATGGGCCTCTTGTTAAACGTAAATCGGTACATGACAGTTGTTTTTATATGATCAAGTGAATCATTCTAGAGGTAAGAAATGACAGAGAGGAAAAAAAAACTCATCGAAAAATTCTAAACTACCTGAAAAATTTATATGCGTTATGTACAGAGTTTTTTTCTCGATTATTTTAGAAACTCACATGTATTTCTAGTTGTTATCTCAAATAATTGTTCTTCACAGATCAGCTCTATGGAGTTTTGGATGCTGGGGTCACAGTAGAGGATATGAAAATACTATATAATTTTTCTACTTTGGACTTCATATTTTACAAGTGTGCTCCTTTCAAAGACAAAAGAACTTTTGGGATAAGACGAAAAGTAATATCAAACGTTTTAGAGGAAGGTAAGAAATATCATTTAAGAAGCTTTTGGTTTTGCTGACTAAAATATAAACCTAAAGATGCACCACTGCTTTTGTAAAAAAAAAAAAATCAATCAAAATATCGAGTATTTTGATTTTCCGTTGTTTGTTTATTTTTCAGTATCATTTTTCTTTTAAAACATCTAATTGCAGTAGGTATATATAGTCTTGCAAGAATGATTTCCTAAAGCATATATATACATATATTTTTTACAAGATGCTAACAAAAATTTCACAAAAAGTGTAAATATTTGAAAAAAAATCATACAGAAAACCGTTGAGGCCATATCAGAGAAATGTACATTTTTATTGCGTTCAAACGCCTAAGAAGTTTTACTAGAAGAGATAATTCTTTTCTCGATGAATGGGAAAACTGATTCGTTTACATACTAATTTGAATTTAACTCAGAAATACAATGAACGAAATAAGAAATGAAAAAGATAAAAGTCTTAACTTCAACTAGATTTGCAAGGTAATTACTCACTGAATTGAAAGAATTCCCCAACATTCATTCTTTCTAAAAAAAAAAATAAATAAAAAAAAAGCTCATAAAAGCATAGATGAATTTGACCTTGGAGTTTTTATTAACTTTTTGTAAACTTACTTTGACAATAAGTTTGAACAATGGGTGCTAGGGCTTTCATTTAAAAATTATCACATGTGTATTAACTACAGTTCTTAGACTACTGGCTTTTACTTTTGACTGTGACCTTTATTAAAAAAAATATTAACTTTTGAACACTTACAGAAGTGTTTTTTTTTTTTTTTAGATCAGTTTCACTTTTGAAAAAAAAAATCGGCAATCTTTGCCATATTTTTGAATATTTGGGAATTGAGCTTTTATATTTTATGTGTTTTCTTTGTGACAAGTCCTCTTTTGAATATAAGCACTTTTGAAATCTTGACCTCCAGATTTGACCCACATATATAAAACTCTTATCCTTAGCCTTGAACCTTCATAGGAAGCATCAGTTTTACACAAATTTAAGTTATTTCTTGATCAATTGTTTAAAATTGTTTTCCGAACTTCTCAGAAAGGTCTAATTAAAAAAGAAATTTTTATCCCGAAAAAGCATTTTTAGATACCAATGTTTATTAACATGATATGAAATTAGAAGTGATTTATGGAGCTTTGCAAAGAACCTTGAAGCATATTGAGAGACATATAATGAAAATTGTTGCATGAGAATATTTAATTTTCAAGCTTCATTTAAAGACTTTTTGAATTAAATTAAAAATTAAAGAGTTGTCCTTCCTGGCTGAGGGTCTGAGTCCCTTAATTTCCATGAAGCCCGAATCGTGCATCTTCTGAATAACATGCATTAAAAAAATATTCAAATTGTCGAAGACTCAAAAATTCTTTGATTTTGGTTAAAAATGTAATTAGGAGTTTTTCTTCATAATTTTTCGGAATCTGCCTTTTTATAGGATAATTTTTTTTTCTTATTAGTCGTATCATTACGCT